AAAAGCAACAAATTGAAAACTTATTTGAAAACATAATGAAGGAGAACTTCCCCAATCTGGCAAAGACAATACACTTCCAGGAAGTCCAGGAAGCTCAGAGAGTCCCAAAGAAGTTGGACCCAAGCAGAAACACACCAAGGCACATCATCATTACATTAGCCAAGATTAAAAGGAAGCAGAGAATCCTAGAAGCAGCAAGAGATAAGAGAATAGTCACCTACAAAGGAGTTCCCATCAGACTGTCAGCGGATTTCTCAAAAGAGACCTTACAGGCAAGAAGGGGCTGGAAAGAAGTATTCCAAGTCATGAAATCCAAAGACCTGCATCCAAGATTACTCTGTCGAGCCAAGCTATCATTTAGAATGGAAGGGCAGATAAAGTGCTTCTCAGATAAGGTCAAGTTCAAGGAGTTCATCCTCACCAAGCCCTTATTATATGAAATGTTAAAGGAATTTATCTAAGAAAAATAAAATAAAAATATGAACAATAAAATGACAGCAAACTTACAGTTATTAACAACCACACCTAAAACAAAAACAAAAGCAAACTAAGCAAACAACTAGAACAGGAACAGAACCACAGAAGTGGAGGTCATATGGAGGGTTATCAACAGGGGAGTGGGAGGGGAAGAGAGGGGGGAAGGTACAGAGAATAAGTAGCATAGATGGTAGGTATAAAATAGACAGGGGGGGTAAGAATGAATAGTATAGGAAATGTAGAAGCCAAAGAACTTATATGTATGGCCCATGGACATGAACTAAAGTGGGGGAATATGGGTGGGAGGGGGTGTGCAGGGCGGAGAGGAATAAAAGGGAGGAAATGGGACAACTGCAATAGCATAATCAATAAAAATATTTTTAAATAAATAAACTAATAAAAAACTAAAACAAAAAAGAAGTTACCAGACTTGGTAGGTAGTTTTGATAAGGAGCTAGGTATAAGGTATAATTATAAAAATGGGTACTTTTTTCCTATATTAGCAGAAAGCACATAGGATTAGCAAAAATGAATCTGAACAATGACAACAAAATTATTATAAATATCTAAAAATAAATTTTATAAGAGAAGATAATGCACTTATGATAAGACTATAAAATATCATTTCAGTATATAAGTCATGATCAAATATAGATGCAGGCTAATTAGTTACAAAGACTTATTAAGCATTGACTATTTCTAAGCTGTTAACATAATATTGAATAAAATTCAACTCAAAATCACAATACTTTTGTTCTGATAGGAGTTTTGGGAGAATGCTAGAGAATAGCATTCATTTTGAAAATTGATAAAACAATTTTAAACTCCAGCGCTCCTAGAAAAATAAACTTGCAAGAACAAAAATTCTTTGAAATCAGATTACAGACACACAATAGAGTTCAGATTAAATGAATTCACTCATGTCATATGAATAATAGAGACATTTATCGAGGAAGATACAACTGTACCTAAGACAATGATGCCTCAGTCCCCTTGAAAGTAGGCACCTTGCGACCTCACGCAGTTCTCCCAATTGCCATCAGCAGCCATGTCATATTTTCCTGAATCTTATCAAGGGTCTGAAATCTCTTCCCATTCAAAGGTGATTTTAGTTTCAAGAAAAGCCAGAAGTCCAGGGCCCCAAATCTGGGCTGTAGCGGGGCTGAGTCACTTGGGTGATTTGACATTTCACCAAAAACCTCTGCACAAGACATGATGCATGAGTGGGTGCCTTGTTGCAATGAAGCTGCCAATTTCCGTGATTGCCCATAGCTCTGGCCTTCAGATAATCTGGATAGATTCCATAGAAGAATATTCAAGCTTAACACAAATTTGATGCAGATGTGTTGCTTTACTGACTCAGTCATTTTGAATGTAATAGCCACACAGTACACATGGTCACACAACAGTGTCTACTGCCTCCCTCTGTTAGTACAGTGAAGTCATCATTATCCTTGCATGCTCATTCCAGTCTCCTTGGCTGCCAGGTTACATCAATGTTGCACAAACCATTCTCACTATAGTAACAATGGCTGGAGTTTTTCCACAGTCCTTGTATTTGTGACCTCATATTACAGATGTTATGTAATTGAGCAAATGCAGAGCAATGTGTTCCATAAAGGGTCTCAGCTGATAATGAATTTTACTTGAGTCCCATGACCTTGGTAAACAAGGCAGTTCAAAAAATCCCCTTACTTTTTTTGTGTTCCAGAAAATGGCTTACTGACAAGAACTCCACTTCTGTGTATGACTTAGATAGGAGTCACAGATGCCCCACCTTATTTACCTATAAAGATTAAGATACAGATCCTCCAAATTCCCATTCTTTATCTCGTAAACTCTGATAAATTGGAACAAATGCTTGTTAGCTAAACTTTAGTCAGGCTTCTGTCTTTACTACAGGCTCCTGAACTTTGGTCACCCCTTCCTGAGCAAGCACAAAAAATAATGTGGAAGGTGCCCCCTTCTCAGCTTTTTCCGAGAATCAGATCCACTGGTCATTTCCATGATTGTGCAGCTTCTCCAGACTCTGCTGACCTTGGCTTGCCTTGTCCTTAACCTCACTATATGAGAAAGGCAGGCCCTTTTTCTGTTTGGTTATGAGATGCGTGCAGATTTCTAAGATGGGAGCTTTCTTCCTATTGCAATAGTCTCTCTTTGTAATCAGTCTCTTCCTATCAATATGTGGATTTGTTTTTATTTGACACAGCAAAAACAAAGGTTGACTTTAACCTCATGCCACATACTAGACTAAATTCCAACTAAATTAAAGGTTCAAATAAAAAAATTAAAACAATAGAAAAGAAATAAATATTGCCTGGCTAGGTAGCTTATTTGATTTAGAGTATCATTGTAATACACCAAGGTTGTGAGTTCCATCCCTGGTTAGGGTACATACAAGAATCAAGCAATGAATACATAAATAAGTAGAACAATAAATCTGTTTCCCTCTCTCAAATCAATAAATAAAAATTTAAAAATTAATGTTAAGACTACCTTTTTAGGGTGAAAGGATTGAGAAATACAGACTGGTAGTAACAAAATAGTCATGGGGATATAAAATACAGCATAGGGAATATAGTCAATAATATTGTAATAACCACTAATGGTGTCAGGTGGTTGCTGAAAATATTGGGGGGGTACTTGGTAAAGTATATGATAATCTAACCACTATGCTGAGTACGTGAAACTAATACAAAATAATATTGAATGTAAACTGTAACTAAATTTTTTAAATTTTTAAAAATAATAAAGTGAGATACACACAAAAATACAATAAAATGTACTTAATAGATTACAGGTAAACTATGTGATATTTATTAAAGTAGATTTTTATTGTATCATTAAAAAATTACCTTTTTAGGGCTGCCTGAAATAGGGAAGGAGAATCATGCAAGACAGGAGATACAAAATCCAGAAAAGAAAGCTTAGAGTTTTCTGATGAGAGAATACATTTTTGTAATTGCAGATCAAAGGAAACATAAGATGCAAAGAACAAAGAGTTAGGGGAAACATGTTGCAATGCAACTAGCAAAGTGTTACTATCCCTGATGTACAAAGAGCTTCTGCAAAATGATAAGAAAAAAACAAATCACTCTGAAGAAAATTGGACAAAGGATTTGAAGAATGTCAGAAGAGAAAATTGAAATGGTCAACAAAGAGAAAAATATCCTGAGTTGCAGAAGTAGTTAGAAAAATGCAAATTAAAGCAGTTTGATACTACTAGCTCACTGGCCAAAATTAAAAGGAGCATGGACATCCAATGCTAGAGATTTGCCATAATGGATTCATATTTTTGCTGATGGGAGTTGGAAATGTTAGTCTTTTGGGGAAGTGCTTTGGCTGCATTTATCTATTCAAAAACAAAATACCGTTACCTGCATCTAATAATAAAACTTCACTTAGCTTAATATTCTTCAGTTCCATCCATGCTGTTGCAAATGGTAGGAGTTCTTTCTGCTGCACACTAGGGAATTGACTGTATGTGGGGGGGAGGGGTGGGCAGAGGAGGGCAAAGAGGGGGGAAATTGGGACAACTATAATAGGATGACAATTTTAAATGATTTAAAAAATGTCAAAATATAGGAAGTGCCAATTGACTGGTGCTGTGAAAACCTGACTTATCACCGACACAGTGGGGGTATTTCAGTAATGCATGGGGGAAGCAGGAGAAAATGATCAAGGAGATAAACATTTTAAATGACCCAACAAAGAAGCTTGGACCAATAAACACATAAGCTAAACACAACAACTGGAAAATACATTGTTTTTTCGATCAAGAGATGACAGTGTTGAAAACTGGTGTAGTACTTAAGCATTAAGGGAAGTTTTAACAAATTTCAAAGACTCAACATTATTCAGACATTATGACACTGCAGTGCAATTAGGATAGATGTCAGTAACATGGAATTAACTTTGTGTTTAGGGAAATGGAAAATGATGTGAGGAACTGTAAAATTTTCTGTACTCCCTTTTAATTCTTTGTTTGAGTCATTAATTCTGAGAACAGGATGTGGCCGGACTGAGGTGGCCCAATCATAAACTGCTCCTTTAGGCTGAATTTCAACAACTGTAGATCAAGGACCACCAAACTTGCAGCTGGCACTCGGTACTTTCTTTTCCTTCCCCTGTAAATAAAAACTCCTCTCCTATATAAAACTCTCCATGCTCTAGGGGCCACTGCATTGGGTTGTTGTCCCTGTCACTCCCGTCTGAATAAAGTACCTGTTTCCTTGCCCCGTGGGTCTCAAAGCATTTTTACAAGTTCGACAGTGGACTGCTAAATAATTCATGAGTCAAAAGGGGAAGAAAGTTACAAATGAGCACTTGAAATTGAACACTAATGAAAATATATCAAAACTTGAATCTTCAAAACTGTAGCCTTAATGTTTATATAAGGAAACCATAAAGGTTAATTAACGGATTTTTAAACATTAGATGATGTGCCCCACCACAGATGTCACAGACTCCCCCCATCCAAGTTACTCCACAGATTCTTGGTGTCAGACTCCTCATCACCCCTCAAGTCCCCGAGCCCAGAGCGGTTAAACTCTCGCTGCGGGCGACTTCCGCTTCCTGGCCTAAATCTGACACGTACTATTACCCCCGGTGGCAACGATCCTGGGTCGGTAACAGCTGAAGAATCGGGCGATGCCCTCAGCCCACGGGTGGACAGAGGCGCTGTCAGGTGAGCACGAAGCGGCGCCCCAGGCTCCGTGACCGCCAGCGGAACGGGACCCTTCAGTATCCCCGCAGTAAGACGGGGCTGGGGCTTAGGGAGGGGGCGGGCCAATATCTGGGCCGGCTGCTCAGAGTAATCTTTCCAGCTGAGTTGGGGGACGGTGGCTGGCTACGGGTGAAGCAGCTGCGAGCTCGGGGGATACACCTGAGTGCCAGCACCTGCGTTCTGAGAAGGGACAGCGCCAAACCTGAGCCTCGGCGGCTGCTGGGGGACAGTGCTGTGGGAGAAGTCTGGTTGGCACCGCCTGTGGTCTGGCCCCATCGGCTACCGGGAAGTACCACAGGGGGAGATCGGGGCGGGGACCGCCGCTCAGTGGCAGAAATGACTACTCTTCCAAGATGGCGACTCCCGGAGAGATACTCCCAAGGGGACAGCCATGTTAGTTGCCTGACAAAGTCACTCAAGAAAAATTGAGAGCCCACCTCTCCTTGGACACACATGCACACGCACGTGTGTGTGAGCATGTGCAAGATAAAAGAGTCCCTCAAATGCACTTTCAACACTTACGGCTCCTGGCCTAAGTTTAACAGGGACAATTTAGTGCCACTAAAGTATTCATATAATTATCAGGGTGTTATAACATGAATTTGATACTCTGTAGGGTGAATGATGGGGCTTCTTTGGGGTCACTTAGAAGGTGCGCAGAGTAAGTGGCAGGGGTTTATGCGTGAGTGATGGGGACAGTGGGGAAAAATGTGGATAGTCTGTGGAATGAGTGATGGGGAGACGAGTGAGTCATGGAGGAGGTACGAAGGGGGTAAATGGTGCAGAGTTTGAGGTGGGAGTGAGGGGAGAACTGTGGAGTTAGTATTCGGTAGTCTGGGATCAATGACTTGGGGATATGTGTGGTGACCAATCAGGGTCCTCTAAGGTCACTGATGGGGATCCCTAGAGGTTATTGATGGGGTCTGTGAGGTAAATAATTTGATCTGTGGGATAAGTGATGGAGCTCTATGTGGTGAGTGATAAGGGGTTAGTGGAGTAAGGAATGAGCACTGTGGTGTGAGTAATAGGGTCTCTAGGGTATGGTGAGTAGTCTGTGGGATTAGTGGTGGAGGTCTGTAGGGTAAATAATGGAGGATACTCTGCAATGAGTCATAGGGTGTTAGTGGGATAAGCCATAGAGGTCTGTTAAGATGAATGATGGGAGTTCAGTACGGTGAGTAAGGAAGGTCTTTGGAAGGAATAATGGGTAGTCTGTGGTGTCAGTGGTAGAGAGGTGTGATTATTGGACACTCAATTAGCAATGAGGACTGTGAGGTGTGTGATGTGGTTTATTCAGTGGGTAGTTAAGATATCTCTGGTGCGGGTGATGGGGTTCCATGGGCTGAATCATGCATTTATTTGGAACAAGTGATGGAGGGGCCTATGGAATAAGATATGCTGTTTCACGGGGTCAGTGATAGTGAGTCTCAGATGGGATCGTTTCAAAAACCCACTTTTGACTTTGTTGGTCCTCCTGTATCTTTGTTCCCTGTATCATTAATTTCATTATCTCTTATCTGTTTTTAATTCCTATTTCAAAATTCCTAATTGTATGCTTATCTCATTAATACTCATTTTCTTTTATAACATAAGCATTAGGTGTATGAGTTTTTGAGAACATTGTAGCTCCATGTCCCAAGTTTTGATATGAAACATTTTCACTATGCTTCACTTCTCCTGTTTTCTAATTTCTGTTGTGGTTTTCTCTCTGACCCCCTTAGTTATTTACATATGAGATTTTGGTTTTCCAAAAAGTTGACAATTTTGTTATTGATTTCTTAATTACAGTCAGAGGCTGTCATCTGAGTGGTTATTAGGTGCAGGAATGAATGTTTTCAATCAATACATACCACCACATTATTTTCAAAAACTTGTAAAATTAGAACTCCCACCAGCAATATAGGAAACAGCTCTATCCAACATCCTTTCCCACACTGTTAGTGCTTTTTAAATCTTCCCCATTCTGAGAGCCAAACACAAGAATATCTAGCTTATTTTCATGTGCACTTTCCTGACAACTAGTTCTTGAACATCTTTTTCTCTTCATTGACCACCGTAATGTATTTAAAAATTTTTTAGTGTCCTTTGCTCTTTATTTCTTTGGGTGGCTTGTCTTTCTTACTAATTTGTGAATATCAACCTTGTCATTTCTTGTAATTATATTTCCTTTGTCTCTTTATATGTTGACTTTTAAAAGGTGTCTTCACATATAATTAGAAAGAATAATCATCTGATTAGATATATATCTTTATCCTTTACAGTTCCTGAGTGTCTTCTCTTGCCTACACTTCAAGTTTAAACAAGTATATGCCTTAAATTTAATGTTTTATGGTTTTTATTTTTTAAGTTAAATTTTAGTGCAACTGGAAGTTATTCTGGTGTGCTGTGAGATGGGACCAACATTTGTATTTTCCATTTGGATGGAAAATTGCCAGCACTAATCATTTAATGAATACCATTTTCTAACTCAATTGGATGCCATTTTTATGACATAAATTCCTAAATGTTATCATTCTATTTCTGAACTCTGTTTCTGCTTCTGGTATATTTGTCTAACTCCCTATAAAATTGTATTGATTTTAGAAATATTTTTAAATTTAATTTATTTTAATTGTTATTCAGGTACAGTTTTCTGTCTTTTACTCCCAACCCAGCCCACCCCCCAGTGCTCCCCACCTCCCTCCCATTTCCACCCCCCTTAGTTCTTGTCCATGTGTCCTTTATACTAGTTCTTCTAAACCCTTCCCTTTTCCCCTGAAATTCCTTCCCCTCTCCCCTCTGGTCACTGTCAGCCTGTTCTCTATTTCAATGTCTTTGGTTATATTTTGCTTGCTTGCTTTTGGTTTGTGGTTTAGATTCCTGTTAAAGGTGAGATAGTATGGTACTTGTCTTTCACTGCCTGGCTTATTTCACTCAGCATAATGCTTTCCAGTTCCATCCATGCTGTTGCAAAGGGTAGGAGCTCCTTCTTTCTTTCTGCTGCATAGAAATCCATTGTGTAAATATACCATAGTTTTTTGACCCATTCATTTACTGATGGGCATCTAAGTTGCTTCCAACATTTGGCTATTGTAAATTGTGCTGCTATGAACATTGGGGTGCATAGGTTCTTTTGGATTGGTGTTTCAGGGTTCTTAGGATATAATCCTAGCAGTGGAATTGCTGGGTCAAAAGGCAGATCCATTTTTAGTTTTCTGAGAAAATTTCATACTGTTTTCCATAGTGGTTGTATGAGTCTGCAATCCCACCAATAGTGAACTAGGGTCCCCATTTCTCCACAACCTCTCCAACACTTTAAAAATATTTTTAATATTGAATAGTGATAGTCTCACTGTTCTGCTTTTGGTTGTTTTCTTTAATATTCTTTAGCATTTATTCTGGCTTGAATATTAAAGCCACTTTATTTTGAATCAAAAACAACCATTAAAACTATAATATTTATAGTTTTCTTTTTATAGAGTCAGCACCTTTAAAAATATTCTTAGATATTTTTCATTTGTTTTGTCCTCATGGTGAATAACATATTTTTTATTTCTATAGAAAATATCCATTTTTGTAATTTCATTTTCTTTTGCTTTTTATTTTTTATGTACTCCAATCATCAAACTCTCATGTGAATTCCAGTTGCTTTTTATAGTCTCTTAGTTTTCCTAGATATACTAATCATATTACATCAAATTAACAATGATACTCTCTTTTGCTTTCAAATATTTATTCTGATTACCTCATCTTCTCTTATTGAATTAGCTGAAGTCTTCAGAACACTGTTGAGTGATACTTGATAGAGGGAGTAAATCCCTATCTTGTTGCTAATTTGAAAGTGAAATGTGTTTATTCATTCATTAGTTAATTCATTCAACAAACATTTGTTGACTACCTTCTCTTGCCAGATACTAGGTTTGAAATCCTAACTAACTACCTGTTTTTTTTCTAAGAGCTTTGCTGATATAATTCACCTACCATAAACTTCATCCATTTAAAGCTTATGGATGGTTTTAAAGTAGTGGTTTTCAGTATATTTATAGAGTTGTATAGGCACTGCCACAATGTAATTTTAGAATATTTCACCCCTCCAAAAAGAAACATTGTACTCATTCCTCATTCTCACCCCTTACCCACACCTGCAGGTGAAATTTACTTTCTGTATCTATAGATTTGTCTGTTGTAGACTTTTCATATAAATGGAATCCTAAAATATGTGGTGTTTTGTAATTTTCTCCTTTCACTAAGCATAATGTTGACTCATCTATGCTATAGTATATTATCAGTACTTCATTCCTTCTTTTTTACTGAATAATATTACTTTTCAAGGTTATATCATATTTTGTTTGTCATTTCACCAGTTGAATATTCAAGTTGTTTTCACTTTTTTTGGCTACTATGAATGATGATGCTGTGAACATTTGTGTACAAGTTTTTGTATGGTGTGTGTTCTCATTTCTATTGGGAGTGGAATAGCTATATTATATATCTCTGATGCTTAACATTTTGAAGAACTGCCAAACTGGCTTTCACAATGGTTACACCTTTTTACATCCCACCAGCAATGTATGAAGGTTCCAATTTGTCTCATCCTCATCAACACTTGTTATTGTCTGTCTTTTCGATTCTAGCCATCCCAGTGTGTGTGAAGTGGTATTTCATTGTGGTCTTGATTTTTATTTCCCTAATGACTACTGATGTTAAGCATCTTTTCATATCTTCAATTACTGAATGTTTATGCTCCCCTATTCATATGTTGAAATCCTGGGGTGGGATGCTGGGTGAAAAAGATGAAGGGGTTAATCAAAAAACAAAAAAGAAAAAAATCACAAACTGAATACTGTATTGTGATTACTAGAAGGAAAGTGAGATGGGGAGAGAGGCAGGAGAGGGTAAAGGGGGGATGAAATGTTAAAGAACTATACACCTGAAACCTATGTAATTTTATTAATCAATGTCACCCCCACACATTAAATTTA